ACATGGGAACAGGAGTGATCAGTGTAACAGGAGTTTTGAGGCTGGATTTCCTACACAGAGCTGTGTCTATAACCTCCCCAAGAGGAACCTCAGCCTCTCTGATGCTGGAACTTACTACTGTGCTGTGGCCATATGTGGGGAGATCCTATTTGGGAATGGGCTGGAGATTACAGGTACCCTGTCATATTAAAAAATAATTACATTAAAATATTTTGGATTCCTTGAATTGCTTGAAAAATGAATGAATCTGAACAAAGGTTGTAGCAAAACATGCAAAATATCTTCTCATGAGGTGGGAGGCACAGCGGTGCAGTGGTTAGCATTGTTGTCTTGCAGTGCTGGGGTCCTGGGTCCTATTTATCTCCTTGGAGTTTGCATGCTCTTTCTGTGTCCTTGTTGTTAAGTGGCTTCAGGGAAAATTGTCCCTAGTATGAATGTGTGAGCATCTGTCTCTGTGTTTCCCCCCTGATAGACTGCCGTTCCATAAAAAATGTATCCTGACTCATGCCTGTTGCTTGCTGGGATAGGCTCAGACACCCCTGACACTCTTTATTGGATAAAGTGGTTCAAAAAATGGATTGATGTTCTCATTATAAACCCAGGCAGTATACTGTACATTGAAAAGGCAACTATCTAGGTAAACTACAGTTGCATTTTCTGGGGCTCATGAGAAATATACAACCGTATGAATATACCTGATTAGATCATTTAAAACTAAAGTGCCTTGAGTTTGAGGCTTTTAATGTTTCTTTCTGATTTTTTTGTTTATCTAATATGTGTTTCATATATGACATTATTGTAATCACAATTTGAAATTCATGTCAAATGGAATTTGTGGTATGTAGAATATATCCAACAGGAAATATAATTCTTAATTTATATCGCTTTAAGTATTTAAGAATGTATGGATGTGTAGAATATATTTATATGATAAAGCTAAACTGATAAAGTATATGTAACATGAAACATTTTAATTAGTATGAGTTGTTTATTTCAATGATAATGCATAGTACAATGCACATTTAGTTACTCTCGTTACTCAAGACAAAAATAAAGACTTTGATGCAAGATTAACATATAATATTGACAACAATAATTCCTGGGTTTAAACTGAACACTGAAAATGAAACCTGGAAAAACTGATAATTT